GGAGATAGGAGCTCTACCTGGATAAATAAATAAGTATAAATAGTTTTCTTTCTGATATGTGACCAGATTATTTTCCAGTTGATTTCCAGCCAAGGTCCCAAGGGGGCCACAGATCAAAAAAAGATAAGGGTCAGTTACAAGGTTGAGCTCATTCGGTGTTGCCATAGTAACTGACCTCCAGCATCCCTGGGAGGACGGCACCCAGCTCCCCAGGTGACATTTCTGTTGCCACGCCATCAATCCGCTGCCTTTCACCGCCCAGGCTGCCTAATGGCGGTGCCGCGGAGCGCCTCGGTGCCGCTGGCCCGCGCCGGGCCGGAGCGCGCGGTCTCCTTGGCCCGCTGCTGCCCGCCGGCAAGGGAGGGGCTCAGCCGCGCCCTCCGGGATTAATTACTAAAATGAAGTGGAGCAGTGTGGTCCAAATGGTTTGTGCAGCAGGTCATGGGTTTAGGCAGCAATGGCGAGGAGGAAATGTCGACTGTACAGCAGACATCGTCTTCATGCAATGTGACCGTCTGCACATTTGCCATCCCCTTGGAGCAGATGCAGCGTGTCCTCAGACCTTGGTTTTGCTTCCATCTTTGGATGTTTTTAATGAAAACCAGTGGTGGAGTGGTGCAAAGCAGATGAGGGATCAAAGTGGTTCTCTGCAGGCTTTGTGTTTGAGCGGGGCGTCCATCACTGCTATCCTACCCTGGTTCCAGCCCCTTGCTCCTTCACAGCCACATGGAAAAAATTGCTGGGGAAGCTCCTTTTCTTACATTATAAATTTTTCCCTTTGATTTCTTATTTACTGGGAAATGAATTGCATAAACAGAATAGCTCCATGCAGTTTTCATTTTATTTCCCTGTGTTCATTCCAATTTCTATTTATTTCTACCATAATTAGAGCACACGGCCCATTTAATTCTACCAAATTTATTATCTAATGGACAGAAGAAGGTTCTCTGTGAACACAATATATTAGTGCTTTGTTACACTGAATCACAGTATTTCAAAGTTCATTAAAAGCACGGTTAACTCATGGATGTGAACATCTGAGTACAGGGAAGAAATTCCCTTTTATTGGCTTAATTTGCTGCAGTAGAGTAGAAATATACTGGTCTGGAAAGCTATAGTGTGGGATGTACATGTTGTTGTCAGCAATGAGCATCAGATTGTCTTACATGATCTCTCAAATTAGGACTATGCAGTTATTCCATAAGGGAAAATTTTTGCTTTATTAAATTGAGTAGAAGAGAGAAGTTTTAACTAATAGTAAAGACAATGCCATCTTGATTTTTGGTGTTCAAATCTTCTACTTTTTGTTGGTATAACATGTCAGTACACGACAGTGTTAACATGTACTTTCACGTTGCCATTAATATAGTTATAATTAGAAATGCAGCTGATACAGTAAATGGGTTTAATACAGCATTATTAATTATACTGCATCCTCGCCAGGAGGCTGCTGGTGTCGGTTCTCTTAGAGGCTTAGAGACTCATTGTAATATGGATTAAATGCACATTACTGCAGCAGAAATAGCTTTATGGAGAAGCGTATTCCCCCTCTAAAATGGGCAGGATGGCAATGTAAGTGCTACTACACACCCTATCAACATATTTAAAACTATCCTGCAAAGGCACCCGGACTTGGGAACAATGAGTGACGTGCTCTGCCACCGCGGTTCAGCTGGCTCTGCGCAGCCCACTAATCCTCACTAACAGGCAGTAAATTATGTACCTCCAAATTTATACAAATGCCTGCCTTTGACATCAGCGGGCACCACCCAGGTTTCACCTTCAGGATTCAGATAATCAGCTCTCATTCCTACTGGCTTCCCTCAAGACCAGTATGGAAATAAGTATGTGTCTGCCAGGGATCAAATGCTTTTGGAGACAAAAGTAGGTACTGAAAACATTACAGGATACTATCATCTCCCCATGATACTTTTACACAAAGCGCTCTGTTCCTCTTTTGGCCTGACATAGTTTCAGCCTGACAGAATCCAGCAGGCCTGCTTGTTTTAAACAAGAGCACATCCTATTATTTTTTTGAGAAATGAAGTGTAAAATTAATGCTTATTATTTTTGAGCTCAGGAAAAAAAGGCAAGAAACCCAAGATTCTTGTTTGCTGTGCATTGCTTGTTTAGTCCTGTAATCATCTGATCCCTCCACAGATACACTTATGAAGAAATGGGATAAGATCTGGTATAACAAACTGTAAAAATCTGCATCTTATTTTTCAAATGAGAGGGGCTGCATAATTCACTTGAGTTATGTAGGTCTCTCATAGATGCTTGTCATGCTAGAACAAAAAAGGCGAATAAGAATGAGGGAAATGATGATGATATGTTTGCTGTTGCTAGTGCCCAGCACCACACATTTGACTGTCACACCACATTGTCAAAAAGCCTCCTTGCATGTACCTAGGTGATCTTATATAATTCAAGGAAGTGATTCTCCAAAGGTGACTGAGTATCCCTATACATGTGCTGTGTTTCTGTGTAAAATAATATGCTGTAAAATGCCATAGAGGAGAGAGTGATTATAGCAGCAATTCTATCTATATCTTTGGGCATTTTCATATTTTGAATACACATGCATGAAAAGAGAAACGTTTGTCATGCTAACCATGGTACTTTTTCCCTCTTTTTTTCTTTCTGGATGGTTTTATAGACACAAGAAATACATAATGGACTCCTGTGGGAGTGGAATAAAAACCCCCACCGGTGAGGAGAAGGCCTTATAATTCAGAAGTGGATTTGCAAATCAAAAGGTCTTGCCTCGAGTGGGATAAATTTCCAGATCTGCAGGAACCCATTATGTTTTATTATTTTTCATTCTAGTTTTAGTTTGTTTGTTATGGGTTTAACTATTTAAAATACTGCAGGGATCAGCCAAGAAAATACACAATCTCTGTTACCTAATTAAACATACCAAGCTTGTAAGAATATTCTTTAACTGAAATGCTGAGCATTGTTTGTTTTTCTTTTTTGGTTTTTTTTTTTTTTTTTAGTTTTACTCAAATTATAGATATTTAGGCTGCAAAAGGAGCAGCAGTCTAGCCATCAGTATGTGTCTATCTGTATTTATGAAAACATGTGCTCACACAGGACCATAGGCTGTGCATGAATCACTGTTATCCAAATACCCAGTATGTAGAGGGTAGAAAATTAATGTCAAACATGATTTCTCTGATTTATTCGTAGAAGGCATTTGTTCCATTCCCCCCAGTTCCTGCTTTGTCCTCTGCGGCTTTATTGCAGCATTTGGTTGCTGTACACAGCGGTGTGGCTGGGCATGCTCAGCATGAGGCTCATGTCCCTTCCCCATCTCTTCTCCCCTCTGGAGCAGGTTGCAAAATTCACACAAAGCCAGAACTTTTCAGGCAAGGGTCTGATGGGAGAATCCAGCCTTAGGCCACAGTGAGGGGAGAGGGCCTGGTTTGGAAACCTGCTCATTGGAGAGGGCAGCATGCCCGCCCGTGGAGGCTGCGCGAGCAGAGCACTGCAAACCTCGCCGCGTCCTAGAAACATCCCAGTCCCTGCTGGTGGCTCCCAAGGGAATTCGTAGAGCTGCTGCCACGGAGATACCAGCCCTTTCATCTTTCTGTTCCGGGCTCTTTCCTTTTCTCTTTTCATCTCCTTCCCAACCCACCTGTTTACTTGTCCTCACACTGCCTCTCCATTCCCCAGGCAGCTCTGGTGCAGCACTCACTGTGGGCACCCACTGCCACACGGGGTCCAGAGGCAGCATGGGCAGCTCTACACTGTCCCAGCCTTGTACAGGGGCCTTGGCATCCTGATGGTACCAAAGGCTTCATAGCAAGCAATACTTTCCTTCTCTTTAGCCCCTTTAAAGGTAGAAAAAGCTAATTTGAAGCAACTGTAAGTAAAGACCGTGCTTCTGAGGGCTCACATTATTCCTAAGAGCCAAATGTATTTGGCAAGGATTAGTTCATGGGGTAATAGAGTAATTTCTTAGCAATCTTGGAGCTAAAAATTAATAGATATTGATATTTGAGGTTGTAAAAATAAAGATGAGTTTAAAATAAAAGAAAGAATTTATTTAGTTTTTAAAATATGTTTTCATGAAAAGTTCATGTGCTGCCACAGTGAAGGAAAGACACATTTTCAGGGAGTTATTTGCAGAAACCAGCCACAGTATTAAAACCTTTTAGGTAGTTTCTAATTTTTATAAACCATATGCTATGTTTTCTAAAATTCTGCAACTCCCTCCCTCCCTTTAAGAAAACCAAAGCATTGTTTAGTTTTATGTGTGAAAATTGCTTTAATATGACTTCAGTACCTCAAAAAAAAAGCTCAACTGCACCCAGAACCACAAACTTCAGTAAAGAGAGAAGCATATCATCCTGCAAAAGTGGTAGGCTTGAACCAAGAGTAATAATTATTGCTATTTCACTGAGTTCAGTTAGAATATAGAGGTGTCTAAAATGGGCCTTGTGTATTCAGTACTTAAGATATATGACAAGGAAATTCCGCTACCAAATGACATTTAAATATCTTCAGTGGTTTCTCTACACCTTGTAAAAAGCCAAGATATATATAAAAAAAAAATTTACACTGACACTCTGCTCTCAGCTCCTGCTATTCTCCAACAGTTTCTTCCTCTGCGGTATGTTTGCAGTGTACTCTGAGCTGAAGACATCCCCTCAGCCCTCTGCCAGCACTGGTGGCTGAATTCAAGCTATTAAAGTATTTTTAAATGCTGTTTGACTCTTTAATCGCCCGCACCCAGAGCAGCGCTGCTCTCCCTGTCTGGCAGGGCCGTGCTGTGTTGCTGGGAGCCCCGCGGGGGTTCCCGGTGGATGGAGCCCTGCAGCCAGAAAGCGGGGGCTGCACCCCTGAGTGCCAGCAGCTCCTGCTGCTCGGGGGCTGGGGGTCCTGGGGGTCCTGGGGCCCTGTGTGCCAGCACAGGCGTTCCTGGCCGGCTGCTGCTGCCTCCCCGACGCTAATCTGCTGTGTCACTAACAAGTTGTATCATTTGAACCTTGCAGAGGAAGGCATCAATCATGAGTGCAAGCTGTGTAACCAGATGTTTGACTCTCCGGCAAAGCTCCTGTGTCACCTGATTGAGCACAGCTTTGAGGGGATGGGAGGCACATTCAAATGCCCTGTTTGTTTCACAGGTAAGACAGGGAGGCCAAGACAAGCCTCAGCGTGCATGGCTAGATCCAGAAATGACACTCGGGGGATTTGTAAAATACTGTATTCCTTTCCCTGGGAAAAAGAAATACTGTGCTTGGAAATGTTCAAATATCTCTGTCTGAAGCTGGGGCTCGCTCTGCCGAGCAGCTCTGTGGCGTTTGACACCGAGCAGCACTGCCACATGCAGCAGGCTCTGCATGGCCCTCATGTCTCTAAATATTTACATTTTGCCTTGTGGCTCAAAGGTGCTATGTGTTTCCAAGTGCAGGACTTGCAAAGGATGGACCTGCTCTTGCAAGCCCTAATTCACCTGAGCAAGGACTCTTTAAAGGCCAGGTGGTTCATGGTCTGCTTACAGTACTGAGTAAAGGGGAGTAAAGGTTTGATAAGAACAAATTGTACAACTCGATGGTTTTATCAGCTGCTCTCTCAGAGGTTTTTTTGAAACCCAGTTTTCTTACAGTGGCACATTTCTAACTCCTGTCTGAGAGCCTGCTACGTATTCCTTCTCTGTAGATCATTTAAGCTCTCTCATCAGTGCAAATGATCATGGGTGATTCTTGCTTTTCCAGGATCTGCAGGGTGCATGCTAAAGGCTGCCTTTTATACTCTCTTCAACACAGTAGTTAACATCTGCATTTCCAATCTGTTTGAGAGAGAAGGATCGTGTAGGTGTCACTGTGGGCCTGTTGTCAGTAAAGGGGCATGGCAGCACCTGCTATTCCTTTAACTTTGGTGGGAATAAGGTGAACCTACATTCTTTAGGGTTTGGCCCACCATTTGAGAAACTGGTTTTTGTGTGAGCTTGGAGTTAATATATCCTTTCTGAAATGTGCTGTAAAAAATTTTGGATGCATTTGTTAAGTTCTGCTGAAGAAGCCATTTTCACATACAGATGACCATTCATGTAAAGTGAGACAAAAATTAAATCAGATATAGATATATTTTTTAACCAGCTAAAGCTGTGGTTCCAATATGTTCAAAATTTCCCTCAGTAAAGTCAGAATAATTGTCAATCCAGAATCATAATGCAGATGCTGTGATATTTGTGATGTTAAACAATAATATTTGTTTTTATACTGAATGGACAACCTATTTAAAAGATCTAAAAATTGTGGCAAGCCTGCCCTTTCAGATTCACATTTATGCCAGAAATGCTGTTCTGGGCCACGTGTCTTCCAGACCAGCCATCAAGGCTTCTCCTGGCCCAGTTGTCCTGCATTAAAAATGCATCTGCTGCACCTGCCATGGGCCCAGGGCTCCCCATGGGAGCAGTGACGTCCTCTCTTTGGTCTGATGGCTGAGTTCTTCCAGTTACCTGTGGACAGTGTTAGCTTTATGTGAAATATCAAAAATCCATACAGGATGTAAAGTCTGTTAGAAGTAAGCTGACTGTCAGCCTGGAGACTCTAAATTGACTCCTTGTAAGGAAATTCTGCTGAACCAAGTGTATCAGCACTTCTCTGGCAGATATCCTTGGACCTTTTACAGTTGCAGAGACTCTGAAGTGCAGTTTGAGACGTGGTACCTTATAGGAAACAATCTCAACTAACTGTACTGTGTTGTTTCAGTCTTTGTACAGGCAAACAAACTGCAGCAGCACATCTTTGCAGTGCACGGGCAGGAAGACAAAATTTATGACTGTTCCCAGTGCCCACAGAAGTTCTTCTTTCAAACAGAGCTTCAGGTATGTTTACAACAGGAGTAAAAACAAAGCTAAAGCTGTTGATTTCTCTGTGCAACTGCCACCCTTGTGCAGCATTTAGAAAAGGTGCCTAACCTTGGTATGGTCTCTTCTGCCCTTAAACAGTCTCTCAGTCTCCTTCTGCCTCCCTGGGTGCCTGGAGGAGAAGAAGGTCTCTGAGCATGGCTGGAATAAATAAATAAATAAGACAAGACAGATATCATGATTTATGAGTATTTCTCTTGACAGTAGTGTTGCTACATCCTTACATGTCTACGTCAAACACCTTGTAAATAATTTCTTTTTCTCCATTAATAATTTAGGGACTGATTAACATACAAAGACTAAGCAAATGGTAGCTGCCCCATCCCCTTCCCTGCTGCTAAATCATAAGTAAAGGAATTTTCCCTGCTGGGGTACGAGAAAGCATGGGTGCAGCTTGGCATGATGCTGAGGTGGAGGCTCCTCGCAGGCAGCAGCACGTTGCCAAGCTGTGCCTCTGCACACCAGGCCTCACACACTTTCCCTGGCAGCACTGGGGGCTGCAGCCACAGCAGCTGTAGCCTCCAAAGAGCCAGGGTTGGCTCACACCCATTCCTGGGGGTACAAATCCTTCTGCAGGGGCTGGACCCTGACCTGGGCACGCTGCTGCAGCCGTGCTTGGAGCCCTGGCCCCAGAGGCCTCCTTGGAGCAGGGAGCCTGGGGGTTAAACCCCACCAATAGCCCTGGCACTGAGGCCACACAGACACTGAAGCTGCAGGGTGTGTGCAGGGCTCCTCGTGGGCAGAGCCCAGCGCCTGCCCTGGCACAGAGCTCGTGGGGAGGTGCCCACCCTGGCTGGCCTCCTCACACCTACACTGAAGCTGCAGGGTGTGTGCAGGGCTCCTCGTGGGCAGAGCCCAGCGCCTGCCCTGGCACAGAGCTCGTGCTCGTGCCCACCCTGGCTGGCCTCCTCACACCTATCTCACCTGTGCAGCATGGCCACCAAAACCACCCCTCCCATCCCCTGGGAAAGGCAGCCTTTTTATAGAATGGTACCATATGCCTCATTTAAATGTATTAGCTTTATAAACCACGATTTACTTAAACTTTGGAGGGTTTTTATTTATCTTGTTGAATTCCCAAGCTGCTGCCTCTTGTGTTGTGCTGTCATGCTGTGGAAGGATGGCTGATCTTTTCACTTTGTTGATTTTATATTTTTTTTCTCCCAGGGGATCCCGCCTTTCCCTTGTTCTAGCGACCTGATTTGCATAAGTGTACAAAAGTTTTAACTATACCTTGTTAATATTTTAATAAAGTCAGCAGATTTTGGGTTTGTGTTTCTCACTATGAACGTTTTATGAAGGCGGCAGTGGCTTGCAAAGACAGCTTTGATTTTTTCCTCCCATATCTCCCTAAAAGTGGTGTTTGGTCAAAATGCCAGCACAATTAAAATGGGAACACTGGCTTCCTAGGCCACTGCATTAACCTTTAGATTCAGATGATCAAATAAAGAGAACCTGGTTAAATTATAGTCTAAGCAGCCTGTTTTTTGCAATTACAGATTTTAATTACATAGTGTTTCAATTCTGAAGTTTTGTGCATTGCACAATTGCTGCAAATGTCAGCTTTAATAATATAAATTAGGATTGTAATTTTCCAGTTTTTATGCAGGATTTTTCTGCTTATAAATTTTCTGACTTAAAATTTTTCTGCTTATAATAATTAATAATAATTACATGAGTAGTTTTGAATGATGTTGGCTGAATGAAAATGCAATACTTAGCTGCACAGTTTTAGTCTTTATTTCAGTAGTGACTCAGAAATGTGTGTTTACTTTATGCCAGGGAATTTACTAATGCAAATATTGGAGCCAAGGAGGACACAAAATGTGTGTATAAATCAGTCAGAAATGTGTAAGACTTTTGAATCAGTTTGCCTTGGCATGATTATCTCATTAGTTTCTGGTGTGTAAGCTGCCTGCTCTGAATTCCTCAACTGTTGGTTATATTTTTGTTGAGTAATGAAGATTTAGTATTATTTTAGTGAACCAGTTGTTCAACTGCTACTTAGGGTTAAATCTGCATAAACCTTTCTGTGTCTTTAACTGTGCAATTATCTTATGTGGGCAAATCAGCCTCCATCAAGGGGTTCTGCTTGATGAATTTGACTGCTCAGTTCTGAACTTGCTTTCCTACTGGCATGAAATAACTGGTATCAAAACCTGAACCTACGCACTGTTTTCCTTCTTTGTATTTTCAAGTGAAACCACTGAAAATACATTTTAAAAGATTGAGCATTCAACTATTTCAAGAAGAAATTCAGAGTGGGGTGCTTGTAGACTAGCAGGAAAAAACAGGGGAGGTGGGAAAAATGACAGGCAGCAAAGGGAAAAGGTAGCTTTTAGAGATGTCACAGACTGGCATGAACTAGCTCTGCTGATTTTTGAACATTTCTTTTAAACAATGTGTGTGCCATGTGATGAGAAACTGTAAATGCTGTTGTAAATGTACCTCTAGTGGCTGGTGCAGATACTGCTTTTGTAGCTTAATGCTCTGGAAGTGATCAAACCCTCTTTGTGCTGCTGAACTAGTAGTTGTATTTTAATATAGGCTTTTGCTTTGAAGTTTACACCATCTGATGGAGCTGTAAAACCAAGGCTTAGGAGCGCTCTGAGGAACTGAACTTGCTTTATAAATGGTGGGAATTTTGGTGAGAATCTGGAGAAATGAGTCAGTGACGTTACTTTGATGATATTGTCACAAGAAAAGAAAACAGAATACTACTTAACTGCTTACATTATCTCACTGGAAATAAGGAAGGAAAACATGGGAAGGTTAAGCATGAAACACAAAGGAAAGAGTATGTGTGATAACCCCACACACCCTTAGGGCAGAAGAGGAAAGGCTGGCAGCACTGTGTTTTTCACATCCTCACTTTGTACAATTGACAGCTATGAATATCATGAAATTCTCCTGGAAAAAGGGTGAATTTATAGCTCATATATAAAACACCAAGGCTATGGCATTTCATTCCCCCTGCTGAATCATGCTCACTGAAACAAGTGGAGAGGTGGAGGGTTGGGGTTTCCTCACCTATAGGGCAGAAGGAGCCCTTTCAGACAGATCCCCATCTCCAGGAGCTGTGCTGGGAGCTGCTGGTCCAGCTCCTCAGAGGAGCTGGAGCCATGGGTACTCGGACAAGGCAGATGAGCTTGCTCTTTGACAAGTGAAATTTTGATCTTTGCTGTTTAAAACGTAGCAGGGAACCCTGCCAGCCCCAAAGATGGGTTGAAATGATGACACATAATGGGTGCTGAGAGTTATATTTGTGGTGTGATTCACAGCAAGGAGAGATCCCTCCTCAGGTGTTTGCATCGAGAATTGTACTAAGCCAATTGTGACTGAGCAGTGGTTTTCAGAGTAAACTTGAGAAGGATTTTTGTGTGTACTCTTTTGCCACACTGCTTTTCCAAGGAGCCATCACATAACCAGTGAAGTATTTGTATTTAAAGGATTAATTCCTGCTGTTTGCTTGTGTACTGTTAATCATACTGTTTCCTCCTAAATGATTACAATTGATGAAAACTAAGGCAAGAGATGTAATAAACAATGTGCAAATAATCCAGGTACCAAGGGAGCAGGGTACCTGCCAGGTCTTTCCTAGCACAGGTGTTCAGGTGTTTTATTGCCTGATATGAATAAAGGGCTTTCTTTTCTGCTCAGATTTGGAGATATGTCAAACCACTAAATTAAGAGAGCTTCACTGGAGGAATGTGCTGTCATTTGAAATGCCCAGTTTTTTTTAAATGTACACATATCAAAAGGAGCTACTATGGCTCATTGGCTAGCACTGTGGTCTGTCTCCCCTCTCGTTTTATTTTATGTGAAAAGCTAGCAATTTTCATATATCCATAAACAGGAATGAGCTGCTGCACAGAAATTGCACTCATTATATTAATAATGATTTACCATGAATGTCCTCCAGGGGCTTGATTTGGTCCACATCAAAGTCCTTGGGATTCTTTCTGCTGATTACAGCAGATCAAGCCCTAAGCAGGTTTTCTCTTTTTAAGTGTGCTTTTAATATCAGACTTTTAATAGCTTGATGTTAGATGTGCCACATCAGACCATGGGGCCGTGAGGATATAGAGGGGGCCTGCCCAGGCAAGGGGGCACCGCAGCGAGCTGCCCCATGGTCTGATGTGACCCAGTGGGGACACAGGAGCTGCTCTGTACCTGCGCTGACCTCCCTGGGAGGGGGGCAATGGGGAGCCACATCTCCAGCTGCTCATGCCAGTGGTCCTTGGGGCCATCTGGGTACAGCAGTGTCCCCTGAAGCACGGAGGGGAAGCAGAGCCTCTTGGCTTGGCTGTGAGCCACCCGCCCGCAGGAGAGTCTGCAGGGCTGTGGCCAAGGGCTCGCTTCACCACCAGTGGAGCACTGAAGAAAGACTTCAGCAATTTTTAGTCTGTACCCAGCCATATCTCCAGATCTTATTTGAAAAATGGACTTTACCTACTTTCTGGGGGTATAAGAAAGCTTACTTAAGTAGAAGTAAAATTTTTCATCCAACCAGCCCTGTGTGCTTGCAGCACTACAGAATCTTAGTGTTTCTGGGCTCCAGTGTCCATTCAGGCAGTGAGAGAAAGGCAATTCCATGGTATCTTGAGGAAGTTGCAGAAAATGTTTCTTCTTGAGAGTGTGTGGATGGCAGGACAAATGGGACCTGAAATGTGGCTCTATCTCAAGGCAGTGCTTTCACTTGATGTAACTTTTGCTGTATTTCAGGACTTAGTGTGGCTTAGATGGCAAACACCAAGAGCTTCTTACTGAAAACGTACCACAAGCTCTTTCTAAATTTCACACAAAGCACACACAAAATCATGTGTAGAACTAATTTTCTGCAAGCATCATCCTTTTTTTTTTCTTTTAAAACTGATTTTTTTATCTTTGCATTTTGTGTTTTGATGGGTTTTAAGAAGCTGTTACCTATTTTTCCTTTTATACTTTTATTTTTTAAT